GACGCTTGCATAACAACCCATCGTTGGCCTACAACCTATTTTTTGCTGATGTTGCGCGAAGCATGGAGAGAAGCGGTGGGCGGCGGCAGCTGCAATGACGACAGAAGAGGCCGAGGACAATGGTACTCCTGTAATATATATTTGTGTATTACACATGAGTATACTATGCACGAAGGAATAACGGGCATAGTATGGGTGAGGAAACTGCATCGGCACATTGGGCGGTCAAATATAATGCGATTTTTAGTGATTTTTGAGTTTATAATGCAAGATAACGGACTAGATCGCATTGTATTGCATTTTAATGCAATATAATCTCCGTCCCTTTTTGCCGATGTGATAGGCCTGAGCTAGAGTCCGTACCAAAGTCCGGCCGTCAGGCCGGACCGGGAGGAAAATCCGTACTATTTTGGGCTCGTTGTGCAAATTTTGTCCGTACCTAAAGGCCAAAACCGGCAAAATCTGTCCTCAGGCCTTCCCACCAATTGTCATGGGTCCTGCTACAGTGCAGCCAATAGAGACTGCGGCAGGCGCAGAGAGGAGCTCATCAATCTTCCTTTTTATGGCGCAAGATGTCGATTGTGGCAGCCTCCGTCGTGGCGTTCGGCCTTCGCTATCAGCGCGCTGAGCTTATCTATGAACAAGCCATCTTGTGAGAGCCGAAGGCGCAGATGTCTCACCGCCTTATCACAGAATTGTTGTGAAAAAGTTGACCCCTTTGACAGCCTTTGACCCCCGAGTGAGCGGGCTTCCGCCCCCGACCCAGACCGCGGTGCGTCGACCAGCCATTTACTGCTTAGCGTGGGCTTATGCACGATCGTCACCCATGATGACGCCACGGCTGCTTTTCGTTGCGACGACAACCGGGATGACAGCCCGGGCGTCAGACGATTATCCGTCGGAGTCAATTATTCTTCCATAGGTTTCGTGGCGCCAGAATTGGTCTTCCTATCCTCCTAAGCTCCTGAGATGAGCTGTCAACCCCTGACTCCAATAAGCGCCACACACGTACCGCCGAACGTAACATTCACCGAGTATCTGTAATGCGTGAGCATCGCGCGTCAAACCTGAGGCGCGAGGCCTGAGTGGAGTGCGCGCTGTTCCATGCCCGCCCCGCATGTTCGCACGTTTCTCGTTCTCCTTGCGATGTGCACCCGTCAACAGTCTCGCTCGCGGAGGATACAGAGCAGCAATTTCCAATTAACCGCGGCACCGCAAAGTAAAACTCAAATTCGCGTCGATCCAGTTCCTATTAAAACAGCGCTGACATCAGCATGACATCCCACTCGTTCAGGGGCCGCCCTGCTTCTTTGGGTACGCGGAAACTGTGTGCACGCGGAACCTACGTGACGTGCGACAGCATGCGGAAACAAAATCGAACCTGCTGTCTCGACGACGGGAGTACTGGAGTGAGCAGTCGAAAAGCGTAAGGATGTCCAACAGCGTAATGTCTAAAGACTAAAGGCTAAAACGCCTGGCATCCGAACGTTCGACGCCACCGGATGTGCCCGAGATGGTCTGAATGTGCCCTCCATTCCAGAATCTAGGGCGGGGCGTGCCGCGGGAGAAGCGTCGTCAGGGGGCGCGGCGGGCGGACGCAGGCCGTAACAAGGTGCTTGGGGCATTGTGGCGCAGGGGAGCCGGCGACAAGCTAGGCGAAGCTTCCAGGCGTTATAAAACGCTTGCCCTCGGGCGATGTCTGGCATATTTTTTGGACTGTGCGGTGCGCAGACATGAGCTCGTCATCTCTTAGCGCTATGCAGCCTTGCAGGGGAGAGATATGTCCCGAGACGGGCTTGACAGGACCCGAAGGCTCCCGAAGATGGTTTCCTGTGTGGTCGTGTATGTCCCCGTTGTGTTGTTCAGTGGAAGCGGACGCACAATGCACTGCGCTTCTTGGTTTTCGATTACCTGGCGGCCGCGACGGGGTTAGCGGGTGATCACTGAGAGATATGTTCAATATTCCGCTGCATGTATGCGTGCACAGAACTACATGCGCATATCATTCACTACACCTTGTCTCTGAGCACAGCGCAAATGAACAACCCAGTACAGCGCCTGAGAGTAAGTCTAAACCTTTCATGCAGCATCACGCATCGCGGTCCGCAAGTCGGTCTGCAGTCGAGCCCTGGCCTCCTGAACATTGCGCCACAGTATTGAGGACATTTTCGGGACGCGTTTGCCCTCCTCTAAGTACCGCTACCCGGTACGTCTCGACTTTCATGCGAGCCATCCCGAGAAGCAGGACTGAAACCATCCACTCCCCGCGCTTTGTCTCGCTTTCCGAGATTACCCGAGCAGACCCTGGAAGACAGTGCACCAGTCTCACATGCGTAAGGTCGAGTTGAGTTTGGATATCGATGCGTCGTGGCCTGTGCATCGCGCTGACAGAGCACTACAAACCCTGCTGGTGTCTTTCGCACCATCATCCTTCGCACCACGCCCGGGTTACCACGTGACTCGCACAGAGTTTCGCCAAACGATAGTCGATAACCTTTTGGCAGTTTCTGCCAACTTTCGCGGGCGAACTCGGTCCTGAGCAGAACCAGCTCGTGACGTCGCCTCACACGACCGCAGGACAGCGCGCGGCTCCGCGGTGGCAGCCGTTCCGGGTCAACTCGAGAGCAGTCGAGCTTGACTCGAGCCATGCGTTCTGGCCCGACGTTCTCGTCTCGGCGTGAGTTCGAGCACTCGTCAGCATGCGCTAGGAACCCGTTGGAATGCGCGAGTCGAAGCACACGACACCTCTGACCAAGAGCCGACATGTCTTCGTGCGCTGCTCGAGTCCAGCACATTGCATAGAAGAAGGCTTACCAGCTATGTGCGTGTGCGCGCGGCACATGCATGTAACACATGAAGAAGCCTTCTTCCGAGGATGTCCGAGATGGTGTGCGCGTTGTCTTGATGAGCTTACATTCATCCCGTGCTGACTCGACATCACCCGAAAGAAGGAGCAGACGATGAATGATGCATGACGAATAGCCAATGGCACATTATACATGCTGTACCGGTACTAGTAGACAATGTACCAACGACGAATAAGAGTGTGACCAGGATCTATCAGTAATTACACGCAAACTGGTACGAGAATAGGGAATATATGCGACAACAGTAAGCTCATCTAGAATTTCGTGGGAGTAGCGAAGTAGTTTATAGTGAAGTATATCTATGCGGAGACGAGTCGTGACCGAGACGACACCCAATAATAGCGCGCGTGAGAATACAGTCCAGTAGGCAGATGTGAGTAGCGCAAAAGCGATGGTTACACTAAGTACAGCGAAGCAGTAGTGAATGCAACGAGGGAATGAAACGGAACAAGTGTAAGGATCCGGTCCAGGGAAAGTCCCGAATGCTGGAACGTGTTTTTGTCCAACAATGCACAGGAAGTCGCGTCCGCATCGTGACACTCATACCGAGTCGTGCACGACCTCGAGCGCAACCGCTCCGCGCTTCTCTGCGCGTGACAGGCCCTTCTTGAGTCGCTCGAGCAGGCCACTGCGGGCTGCGCTGTGCGAGACGCGGAACACAACCTTCTCGAGACTGCTGAAGCGCGAGTGCGGCAACCCAAAGAGCGCCTCGTCGAGCGCCTCGAGGGCCTGCTCAGAGACAGCCTCGAGCGGCGCCGTCGCGCGGACGTCGAACACGACGCTGCGGAGCTCGCTAACCCGGATGCGTGTGAGGAAGGCGAGCGCCTCCTCGACGCCGTCCTTCGCGATCTCGGGCGCGGCCGTGATGAATGAAATGGAGTGTAGAGCGGTCTTAATGACGTCTAGGTACAGGAAGAATCGGCGTTAGCGCGCTGGCACTGCGACTGAGAGCTCTTGCGAAAGAAGCTCACCACTGGGAACACCGCGCGTGGACCAGAGTGGAAGTGCGAGCTGGGCGAGCCTCGGTCCTAGACCGTCGACGACCGGGACCAGGCATCCAGGCTGGTGAACCTCCCACTGCACGTTGAATTGGGGGATCGCGGGGCGCGGCAGGCGACACAGCCAGAGCGCAAACGCCAGCGTGACCTCAGGAGGCACGATGTACCCTTGCATGCGCAGCTCCCACAGGTATGCGGGGGTGCGACGGGGATCGCCGTGAGTGTGGCGGTGCCGAAGGAGATGTTCGTCAATGACAAGCGCTCCAGCTCGGGGAACATCGCGACGAATTCGAAGAAGTCTGCAGAGTGCATGAAGGTCGCGAAGACGAGGTTGAGCCGGCGAACGTGCTGTGCCGCAGGACGCAGCCATTCCCAGGACCTGGCAGGGCCTGTCCAGTTGCTGAACACCAGGGTGAGGTCGTGTAGCTCCGTGAAGCGCGGGATGACCTTCCAGACTGCACGGGCCTTGGCGTCGGTGCGTACACCTTGTGCGGGCGGCGACGGGAGCGTGATGACTTTGAGTGAGCGAACGCACTTGGCAGCGCCAGTGGAGTAGTAGTTCGCAGAGGGGGCCTTCTTCTGGCTGCAGTCGAGGGCGACATTGCGATGAAGGTGGTGTCGGGCACGCGGAAGCCAGGATCGCTGGACCAGCGCGCAGACTTTGAGCGAGTCGCGGTCATCAGACAGATGGTCAATGACAGAGTCTGTGACCTCCTGTGGAAGAGTGCTGGCAGCAGGTCGTCAATGCCAGGCTTGAAGTCGACCAACATCCGTGACTCACTTGATGTATGATGTCTCCATATTCCTGTGTCGTTGGCGAGGCTGTGTTGCGAAGTCTAGGGTGGCTGGGAACGTCTAAAGGAGACAAAAGAGCGAAGGTGTTCCTGCCAAGGGGGCTTATATACCTGGGGGAGGTGGTGGTCAAGAAGAGAGATGGGGATGACTGTCGTTATCTCCCCACGATTTTTTGGTAAGCTCGGAGACTTTGCGGAGATCGCGACGGAACGAGAACCGCCGAAGCGGATCACCGCGCGTCATTTCAGGCATGTACCGTTTTCGCGGCCGCGGCGGGGGCGCCCCGCTCCATCCTCCGCCAACGACCGACGCAACGAGGACCATCCAGTCGCGTACTATTACACCTGCCCGTTCTGGACGGTTCTCATCTGGGATTCGCATCAGAGTTGTGTTGCTGGCACGGGGTCATTCAGTCGCGCGTTTCCTGCTGATGGACCGTCATCACATGGTCACTGAACGAACAGAGTCTCAGTGGCCGACAACAGCCCACGAAATTCAAAATTCAAGCCGAGCGATATAGACCACTCGCTCGCTGGGTACGTCTTTGACGATGGTATCCCCTTGAATTGAGCTGAGCTCGAAAGGCCGACAGTTCCGGCCCACTCGGAGGACCCGAGAATGCTAGTGCAGCTGCGTTCAATACATGCCTTCGGCGGCCATATCCCAATTCACAGCTTTCTTGTCTGAAACAGTTTTAACAGTCCCGGCTACGGTGCCAGCCTCGAGGGGACATGGATTGTTGGCATCCGCGAAGCCACTAGACGTGAGCGCGCAATGGAAGTGCTTGCAGCTTCTCTCAAGGCACGAGCTGGAGGATCTGCAGCACTTTCCGATCTGCGATTCTGGAGACGACCTGCTTACCTGCGATGCAGTGCCAGCTGCTTAGTTGTGATCACTCATCGAGCCGTCACAGGATTCGCTGATATGGGGATTAGGCGGATTAATGACGGAGACATGGCCTCATGGTAGGCGCACGTCGAACGCACTTAGTCGTCGACATCGGATAGACGACTTACATGCAGTTGAATGTGAGGAACACAAGTTCTTTCATCAACTCATCGTACGAAACATACAATTAAACCACTTTACATCCTATCAGATCAGAGCAATTGTATCTTCTTTGGCGATGCACAAGGGGAAGCCAGCAATCCAGGCTGATTAATGCACCCGCAAAACCCCTCGCTGAGACGAAGATGGCCCTTGGAATGCAGCGCAGGGAACGCGTCGGCAAGACAGTTGTTCAAGCAGCTATGCGCCTGGAAGGTGCGCGACGGCATCAGGACCACAGTCCAAACTCGGACGGACTTGACGAGGCCATCGTCCACGAGGCTGCGCAGCTCCGCATCTGCGCGGCCTATGAATGGAGAATCTTGTACCAATATGTGTCGCGCCTCGGCCGTCTGCGCCTGGTCGTCATATCCCATGGGGAACGGCCACATGTGGAGCTCCAGCTCAATGTACTCGAGCGGAGGCGGGTTGTCGGGACGTTCGCGCAGCGCCGCTACGGTCGCAGCGAGCGTGGTCCAGGGCTCGTCGTACAAGAAACCTTCCCTCTCTCTGTCTGATCTACTCGAGACTACAATGGCCAGTGTTATTCTGCGCAATGCAGGCATGTTCGCGAAATTGACGTTCGGACACATTTCCGTCTCCTCTGTGGGACGAGCGGTTATCAGCATGGCCGTGAAACGGGAGCAGATAGGAGGGCGTGCCTTCAAATCTCGGAGAATGAATAAAATCCGTGATATGTTCCACTGTTGCTGCACAAGCGTTTACTATCGTCCGGGTTTCGTCAAAGAAGCCCAGGACGTTCAAGTACCTGACATCCGCCATACGTAGCACCCACACGAAGACCGGCAGGAGTTCACACATGCAGATTACGAAGGACTGGATGCGAGGCAGCACATTAGGGTCGACGTCGTAGCTGTCGTAGACATCGCTGTCATTGACTTGAGGCGGGTCGTGCTCCTCTGCTGCGTCCCAAATTTCCTCATTCTCGTCTTCGCCGGGTTCCACGTAGTCACCGTCACCTGGAGCCCACTCCACCCTGATGAGTTCAAGCTTCTTAAGCTCGGGAAACAGGACGAGCAGGTCACAGAGTGCACGCGGATCGTACTCCTCGTGCCTGCGCCACCGGTACCACTCTCCATCGATGGTGAGCGACTGGAGGCGAAACTGCTGGATGACGGGCTGCTCAGGCCGCTTGTATAGGACGCCGCGAAGCTCGAGGGCGAGGAGCTCGGGGAACATGGGCAAGTAGCGCGGGAGCACATTGGCGAAGTCGATCCTGCTATTCTTCCCACATCCCCAGCGCAGTGTTAGCTTCTTGGCGTACTGACGGTGCGTAAAGATGGGCTCCTGGACAAAGTCTTGCAGAGCAATTCGCGGTCGATTGCTCGCC